CATTTTAGGGAAGAAAAATAAATACTAGAGTAATTTATCTGACTAGAATTTTGCTTCCATATTTGATGTACTGTGGGCACAGTTCCCTTTGGACCACCACAGCATAACCAGGTGGAGAGTTTCCACCTTGGCCTGCGACTACAACTGTGAGCAGGGAGTCAAAGTCTGGGAGACCCTTTTATCAGCACCGCAGTCTCCAAAAAGCACCATGAAGGATGAAAGGGGAGGGCTGGATCTATTCACCTTTTAGTAGAACGAGATACAGTCAAATGTGTTCTTTTTCTTAGAAATTCTCACTTTCTTTGATGTCTAGGAAGTGAATGAGAGAGTGAATTCTATCCACACACACTCACATTGCTTTATGATGCTCTGATCATCCCAATGACCTCCATCACTTGGTGCCTAGCTACAGAATCAGACTTGCTGCCGTGTTTCAGATCCTACTGCAATTAATGAACTGAGTAAGACTGCCTCCATCTGCATTAATGTGGCTGGTCCTTAGTAAGAAATCTCTCAGGAACAGAGAAACAACAGATAAACCTACTTCAAGACTCACAGGAAAGTGGAACAAACCAGGAATAAAAATAAATCATGAGTTGTTTCAAAGAAAATGGAATAGTTTTGCCAGATTTACAGTAAGCTGTACTTCCATGCAGTCTCACAAACATTTACGTTAGATTGTATCTGAGATGATCAGATCAAGTGTCTATGAACTGAAAGTGATGACCCAGAATTAACACTTCCAAAAAAGATTTACTGTTCATTGGTCAGCCGAAGCAAGAAAAGTTTCTAGAAAAATAATGCTTGAATATCCAGGGTGCTAAAATGAAAGCAGATAAAAAAATGACTGGCACTGAGGTATTTTTAAAACTGACAACCATTTGCACTATCATAGATATAATGCCCCATAAATGCAAGAGGAAAATGGGCACAGAGAGGTTGAAATATGGTATTTTACTGATTAAAATCTGCTAAACCCTTGCACATCCTAGCAAAAAAAGTAAACAGGTCTCTTTCTGTAGTTTCTTAAAGTGTGCACTCCAAAGAACTCTGTTCAGTTTTACTTAAAGTAAAAACAAAAGTGGACAGCCATGCAATCCCTAGCAGAAAACTGATTTAAGCAGTTTATTGCAATACAGAGAAAAAGTGGGCTTTTAAAAATATTTTTGACGTTTAAGTACTGTACTAACCATTCAAACTAAACTGAACATGCAATGCCTATGTGGCACTTTCCTTAACTACTCTAGAACCTGGATGGGACTGGTGTGAAACTTAAGGTGTGTTTCAGACAACAAGAAGGACATAGTGAGATAATAAAACAGCAATGTTCTGCTTGCTTCAGTGTCACTGAAATGGTCTATTATCTGTGAATTCTCATAGGTGCAAAGAAATTCTCTATTAACTATTTTAGTGCTAACCTGCAAGACATAGAATGACAATGGAAATAATTCAAAAAAGTTACTTTGCTTACAGTTTTAGTCTGGTGGCATAACTCATGCTTGCAGATAACCATGCCTGTGCAGTGCAGGATACTTTTGTCAAGCAAAATGTGCCCATCAATCTCAGGCTAACCTGAGTCCGTCACCTCTGGGACTGCTCAAAGTTTTACTTGGCTGTTCCTCCCAGCTTTGCTGTGTGTTAGCATAAAGACAAATGCTGATAGAAGGTTGAAATTTAATTTTCCAAGAGGAGCACTGTTATTTCACTAAGCCATAACATATATTCAGTTGACTCACAGCTATGCACTGTCGATGCCACTTGGGAAGTATAACTGGAATAAGGTAAATTTTGCTAATGGATTACACTGGCTAATGGCTTATTCTCCTAAGTAGTTTGAAAGATTAAATACACGATATTTAAAACACCCCGTACTGAAGACCAAATTTTTGGTTTTGAGAGTTTCTATTCCACATGAAAGGGCTGCATTCTCATTTACTTAATAACACTTAGAATGGTCTAAGCTAAAAAATAAACATCCACATGAGGGAGACGCGCTGTTAGGATACAGCTGGTCAGCACTGCCACATTTCTAATGGAACAGGTCACCAAGAGACGAGCACGCAGGGCCATTGGGCCCATCTTCAGACCTGTCACTTCCACGGCAGCAGGTAGCTCTGTGGACAACACACCACAATAGAGCTAGTTTTGGAAAGGTTAATTTTTGATACTAAGCCTTAACTGGCCCGTCCTTCACAATTTGCCCCAAACTGCTTCTCTCGCATGTTGTCTTTGCCTTTTACTGGTGACAACTGAGCATTAGACCCCACCAGAGGAGAGGGCACCACTCACTACTCCCCCTTTCAGCACACTCCTCCAGAAGGGAACAGGGGGAAGGGGAGTGAGAGGTTTAAAGAAAAAAGGAAACAGATGGCAATTAAAAAAGCTTTGAAAATAGAGGAGTTGCAACAGGGATGAACTCAAATACAATTTAGGCACAAAGCCCTCTTTGCTCCAGCCAGATAGCAAGGGTCTTGGGATCCCCCAAGGGAAAGAAGTAAAAGCATCCCTGTTCAGCCTCCAGAGTGCTGGGCATCTTTCCACAGAGAAAACAATAAAAGGATGTGTCCTTCCACATTGTCCCCTTATGGGCCGTCCCAGCCTCTCCCTGCCTGGGTATATCCAGTCTATTGCTTCATAAATCAATTCATTAGGCATAGGGGGACAGCGAGGGCAAGATGCAGCAACTGCTCAGCAGTACTAGCCTAAAAATCAGACAGTTTAAGTAATTATGGAGCTCATTTAAACCAATTAGAAATCATCAGTGAATAGAAAAGTCTCTTTAAATTTACCAAAGGACAGCATAAGTCTAATGCTGAAAGTCAGAAGATCTGGAAAGCTTCAGGTAACTTTCTTCTTTGTATTTAACATATACAGCACAAAGGTCTCATCCAGACTGGGGCTTCTGCACTTCTCAACTGGCACAGAAATCAGGGGAAGAAAAGAAGGAAATACACATGCTTTGTTCTTGTTGGTTTAAACCTGGTTGCCTCCTTAGTTTATATATAGTATTTCATCAGCTGAAGGTAATATTTTTTGGCCTATTTCACGAGGAAGATAAACTCAAAGTAGTTGGCTTCATCCTCTCTGCAGGTCAGGGAAAATCTGATTACCCATGAACAAGTGTCACTTCCAGACCTAAGTTATTTATTATCTAGTAAAGAATTTCCTGGTTAGAAAAGAAAAAAAAAAAAAAAAAAAAAAAATCAGAAAAGACATTAAATTGACACCCAACCCATGTTAAACCTGGGGGGAAGAAAGAAACAGCTGCTGCTGGTTTGGTCTGGCATGGTCTCTGTCACTGGCAGCTGCTGGACCTGCTGTGCTGCTTTGCTCAGCAAAACCAGGATACTAGCACAATACACCATAAATAAGTTCACAGAAGTGAACCACGAGCCTCGCTGGCACACTCAGCTCTGCTGCAGGCACACACAACACGAAGCAAATCTCAGAAACAGTCTGATAATTTGAGGAAGAACATGGCAAAGCAGCAGAATTTGGAAAAGCAGGCAAAGAGAAAGGTGAAAAGTATTTAGCACCTCACAAGAACCTGCATCCAAGCTGGTATCACACACTATAAAGAGATTCTTACAACGCAATGACTGATGGAGTTAGAAGCTGTCACCCCAAAATGCCTGTGATTTATCGTATGTGTCTTAAGCAATCTAGGACACCTTGCCAATATCAGCAAGACAGAACAGCATTAATTCCTGTCATAGATCTTAGATTATATAAAAACTCACATTCAGTTATGATTTGAAAATTAGCTGTTCTTTGAGTCAGCAATCAAGTTCACCACAGATAAAGAAGAGTTCTTGCTAAACTATTTGTTCTCACGAAGTTAATTGTGCTAAATACAAGTAATTTCGAAACATCCAAGTTTAGGGGTTGGGTAAATATGCAAATAAATTAATAGAAAACACTATTTCAGCCTCATATTATGCAACACAATTGGCTCAGCTTTATTTCTTTTTTTCATCCTGAGAATCATCCGTGCATTCCCAGAACAGATAACAAGTTACTAATCCTGCAAGCAGAGCACCCAATGCGACAACAGATGTAAAGGCAGTAACTGCTATTTAAATAAATCAGTTTACACTGCATTTCATATGGGCTTGAACCAGCAGATCCTGCTTTTTTGGTCAGATATCTACACTCCGTGACAGTTTACACATTCCAATACTGTGCTCCCTCATAAAATTACTTTCAATTGTACAGTTACCAGTTTTCATTCAAATTGTAACTGAGAATTCCTAGAATGCCATCTCTGAATGTAATTAAACAGTATAAATCCTATGGAGAAGGATAAAAGACGATTTCTCCTTATGGGTACGTATGCACATATGCTGCGTGTTAAAGAAACAGACTGAATGCAGAAAATTACCACAAGCAGAATGCCACAGTGTAACATGCTGTTGATCAAGGAGATTCAAATATCAAAACAGGAATAACATTATGGTTCAGACTGTAATGGTGCAATATAAATTAGGTCATATTACTGAATATGGATATGTATAGAATTCTTTTCAAACAATCAGCTCTCTTCCATTAACATTGTATTCCTGCATCACCACCAAAGGAAATAGAGTTCCTCAGATCAACTCCACAGGAACCAAATAGACTATATAAATGTGCATAAAAGATGAGAAATGGTATTGTCAGCAATGAGATTCTGGCAGCACTCAGTGCTTAACTGTTTGCAGAGTTTGAAATTTTCTATAAACAAAAATAAGTAATTATTTTCAACTAGTCATATTCAAATTGGTCACTGATAGTGCATACTGAAGAACCATCCAAGATAGAGAAGCTGTCCACAGTGCAACACACTGCTGGGTTGTTAACAAAGCAGCCAACGAAATGATAAAGAATATTCCCCATGCTCCCATAGTTAAAAGGCAATATTAAGAAAAAAAAGGTCAGAGGTTTCTGGAAAGGGATATAGAATTGCCTATATAGGTACATGATATTATAGGGTGCTTTTAAATACATAAACATAGAATTACTTCCCATATGACATGAATTTAGGACCACTCTAAGTTCATTGTCTTCAGCAACATTGCTTGCTTTGATCAAATAAAGCCAGAATAACAACCAAACACTTTTTGCCTCCCTTTTTACATAGCATAAGTGACTTGCCTTTTGTAGAGATGCTCCTGCCTTGGCATCAGCTGACACCAGATGGGAGTCGGGTCCAGTTGCAAGAGTTCTAGAACAGATGGATAAAAACAAACAAAAAACCCCACTTTAACTAAGCACTCACTCATCCTGCACCATCAACTATTACCAGTGATGATCTTTATCAGCACTTGACACCACTAATATATCACAAGGGAGGAAAAAGGTTTGTGTCTACACAGGTATTGCAGGCTATTTTCTATCTGATTTTAGGGGATCACTAGAATTGTGTAGAGTTACCTTTGCAAAAGATTACTGAGCATTTAAGTGAAAACAGGGTCATCCAGAGGATGAATGACAGAAATGTGGCACTCTGGCACTCCTTCATCCTGCTGTTATTGTGCAAAAAGCGCAAAGCTTTGGAAACAAACATATAATTTACAAACTACAACTGTAGTATAACAAAACTCAGAAGGACAAAGGAGATAAATATTGAATGTGTTTTAAGAGTGGGGATATAGAACACAAGTTCACTCTGCTTTTTTCTTTTTTACTGTAAATAATATAGGTGAAGGAACTACAATGAGTTTAAGACAAGCTTGCAGTTATGGTTTAACTTTTATGGTTGGTGGGTTTTTTAACAATATATTATCCAGACATACAGCCCTTTGTAAACTATGGATATTCCAGAGCTTTACAAGTGAGAACACAAATACTATTTTATTCTACAGATAAGGAAACAGAAGCAAAGAAAAGTCACTTTCCCAAGGAAAATATTTAGTTTGTAGCATGAAATGAGAGGGGCCAGTACTACACTATTACTAACAGTAATTTGCAATTTACAAGAAAGGAATCAAGGTTGCTCCCCAAGTACATTTGAGATACACGTCACTTTTTCCTATGAGAACAAAGAACGAACCCCAACAGCCTCAGTGAGAGGCTGGGACTTCAGTTAGCCAAATAACAACATGCACTTCTTTCTTCAACAAACTCACTGTGCATCCTCCCTGCATTTGCCTCTCTCGCTTCATGTCAATGCTTAAAAAAGTGATTTCAACAGCTGAAGAAAACATAGGTGAATATTGCCTCTGCTAAGCTAAACAGCAAAATATTGTTGACCTTTGTCGAAAGCACTGAAATGTTGAATTCTGCTGTTTAACTTTCTGTGCAAAAATATTTTCTACACAGCATTGTCCTTTCTTTGCAGCAATGCAGTAAACTAACAGGCTCCCAATGTGCCGAGCCTCCAATGAATCACTACTGGAAAAATCCATAGAACAGATTTATTCTTTTCATTCCTCTTTATTAACTTGGCCCTGCAGCAGGGAAAAAAGCAAACACTGATCTGTAGTTCCCTTGACTTCTGAGGTAACTTGCATGCTCAAAGGAAGGTGTCTGGACCACCACTGGAATAGCCCAGTCCCCTCATTCCTCCCAGTGTCCATCCCTGTCCACTCACGGACCTGATATCGAGCTTGTCCAGAACTGCTCCAGCAAGGTGCATCTCCACCCATGACCACTGCACGTCTTGGAGCAAAGGCCGCTTTTCCAGAACCAGGTTATCTTCTTGGGAAACTACTCCTTCCCCATTGTCTGACTTCTGAGCCATTACTTCTGTTATTAAGGTGGGCGGTGGTTCATTCAGGTTTCCTAGGGAAGAGAAAAAAAGAAAAACACTCCTTCCATATTAAATGCATCAAGGATATAAGCATTTACACATTACTCAAGGATATTCATTGTTAAGCTATAATTAACAAATACACAAATACTCCCAGGATCAAAATTTACATTAGAAACAGCTTTAATTTCAATTACTGCTATAGACATGAATGTCTATAAAGGGAAGTATCATCCCCATTTTTACCTTACACTTATTATTCAAACAACCATCATTTTTACGGTGTGGCTATATTGGGTTTTCCAACTCATTATCCAGAACAAAGAATTGTCTTTTTTAGAAGGACGTGCTGACAGTTAACCACAACAACAACAAGGATTACTATCATAGCAGCATTGAGGTCCATTTGCAATGTACAGTGACATGTGTTTAACTATGCCCTCAAGATCTTAAGGCCAAGAGGAGGTTTCAGGATAAGCAGCCAGATCTGCTCCTCCAACAGAGGGCAGGAGGATGAGAAGGGCAGGAGACAGCTGTAACTTTATAGGGCATAATTACCAAGGAGGACAGACAAGTGTCACAACCCCTGCTGCCCATCAATCAAGGAGGTAGCTCACAACATCATGTCAAGTGAAAACAGGTCACGAGGACAACTGTGTCATATCGATCAGAGCAGCTCAGAAGTTACGAAAGCAGCAAATGCACAAGCGATCAAACGTGACTCAGCAGCAGCGAGCAAGACCAAAGATCACATGTGAGTTGTTAGAACATTTGGTGCAGCTGCCCTGGCGGGACAACACAGGCAGCCTTTTGCGTGATTGCTGAAAAGCTGTCAGAAGGCCTAAGAGGGGGATTAACCAATAAGAAAAAAATACACACAAATTGCCTGTAATGACCCCAAATTTCACCTTCTGGAAAAGGTCATAGAAGGCATATCCATTCCTTCCTAATTAAGGACATAACAACAAGCACCAGCACTTGTGAAAGTAAAAGTCAGTCCTAACAAGTCTTGACCAATTTAAGCGCGCCTTTACTAAAGTAAGAAAAATATCATCGAGAAAAAACACTTGCTTGATTGGCTATGTCATTTTGCTAGAGTTTAACATTATGTACAACTCATTATTCATTATCTTGCGTGACAGTGGACAGAAATAAATTTTGACCAGTGTCAATCAATCAATTATACATTATTTCCAATAGGCTGGTGCTCCAACCCCCTAGCATCCTAATGAAAGATGCTAATAAACGATGACCTGTCAACTCAATTGCATACTGCATCATTTATTCTAAACAGCTGCTTTAGAGCCCATCTATAGATAAAGGGGAAGACTTCAGAGATGAAATTGGCATTAAAGTGTGAAATTAAACCCATGAAAAGCAGATCCAGAAAGCAGAAAGCACAGAGGAAAAATAAACAAACCTGTAACAAGACAGTCTCTCAAAAAATGCGGCATTGTGAAGAATATTTTTGAGTCAGCAGAAAAAATTGTGGAGACAGGTTAGTGCTTTGGGCTGAATCAAGACTGGAAACATCCCCACCATATACAGATGCCAATATTAATTTCAAAGGAAAAGGAGACCAACCTATTTTTAATTATTTTTAAGTTTACATGTATGTATACTAACCAAAGCATGTGAAGGCAACAGCTCAGCACAAACAGCCTAGAAACAAAGCTACTCTTTCTTTTCAAGCCACAAGAGGTAGGGTTGAAATGAGACTCAAACCCATCCTGAGGCACTGCCTAGCTCTTCCTGTACCTCACAGGAGTCAACTCTTACTGCAAAAGTTCACAGCTCTGCTTCAATACCTGATTATTCTTATTTTATTTAGGGGAAGCATCACAAACATTTCATTCCGTCTCAAGTAGGGGTTCATTATACACAGTAAGGCTACAATAAGCCTCAGTATCAGTGCCATAAAGCAACTAAAGTCAAGCTTGACAGTGATCTGTCTCTCAGTGCTGTGAGCCTGAAAGCTGTGATTAGCAGACAGATAGTGAAGAAAAGAAAATAGTAAGTGAGAAATGTGGTTTTCTTCCCACTATGACTTCCTTACTTCGTCAACTCCTGTATCATTCAGCATAAAATTAAATTTAACTGGAAATATTTAAAATAAGCCAACTGGGTGGATAGATTAAGTAGATTAGTAGCTGTGACAACTTTTACTTTTGCCTTTCACTTTATAAAAATTAAGATTGAGGGACTGACTTAAGTATTCTCTCCACAAAATGAAGCAGAGTATTAGAGAATACATTTGCCAAGAGAATAAATCATGATTGACAAAATGAAATTTGTTAATACAATAGTTTGAGGCAGTTGACAGAAATTTTTGTCAACAAAATAGATTAAGGGATTCAAAAAATGAAATTTGCAAATGGAATGGCTTTGATGTTCCTGATGAAAAGTATTTTGTTGACAGAATGGATCAGAGTGAAAAAATGCATTTTCTCAACACAAGGGTTTTAACTCTTTGACAAAATATATTTCATCCCCAGATGTTTTGGCTGAGTTGTCAGTTATTCTCCATGTCTGCCATTAACCAGTCACTTTGCTGTCGACTGAAAGATTTCTTTAGGAGCAGGTCTGGGGAGGTATCACAATAGCTTCCCAACTGATCCTGCTAACAGAGTTAACACTAAGTGCCAACTCAACTAAAGTTAACAGCTGAAAATGAGAGGGTTTTTTTTTGTTTTAACCTCATCTTTTATCCATGTGTAGCATTTATTGCACTATATTTCACTTCTATATCCACTGCTTTGGCAGGTTTTTTTCTTGAAATTAGATCTGCCCTGCAATTAAGGCTTAATATCCGTGTCCACACTTTATGTAATAAAGGATGCTCCTGGCATACCCTAAACAACTGCTAATGTACAAACTACACCCTTAAAAAAGTCAAATCTTGCACCCTGCTGCAAAGTTGTCTATCTCCACATGGAGCAAACAGCTTTTCAGCTGCCTAGGCTGGCTGCCGAGCACAAAGAGTTGGGCAGGCTCAATTTAACATCTTCCCCCTTACAGAATGCAGAGTAAGCCCAAGTTGCAAGGTTAACCTGATCAGGTAGAGGAAGTACTTAAATTGAGGAAAAGAATTTGGTTCTCATTTCTTTCTTTCAGTGGTTAAGAGGGTATGATAACCTCCCCAACATAGACTCACATTTGTGTTGATGTTTCTTGTGTGCTTGTAAGATGCTAGGACTCTATTCAGAGGAGCATTTTGCCAGCCTAGTCTGGCTTGTCCAAGTCACCAGCAAATACCCATATAAAATACATCCCATAAACTATTGGTAGATACATCCCACGATCATTCAGGAGAGAGTTTTGTCATGTAAATCCTAGACCTGTACAATCATGTGCATCAGGAAGGTAGCTTAGTTTCTCTCTTGTGACCTGCCTTTAGAAACTCAGGGGTTTCCTGAAAATAATTCCTGAATACAAACCTCTAAATGAGATTATAGAAATAGAGACCATGATCTGTCAGAAAATGCTGTACCAGACCACAACAGCCTCAAATCTGTAAATGCGTTAACGGGAGGTGTAGGTCCTTTAGGTGTCTTGCCCACCAAACTACTCCCCACACACTTGTACCAAGCTCGACCTATCCGGACTTCAGTCACTCAGATGCATTTGTTCCTTGTTATGAATAGATAATCATAAGTTCAGTTCAGAACAGATCAACTTAAAACTACTTCCAACAGATTATGCTCTTAGGTTTCCCTGGGTGCTGAGCATAATCTCAAGACCTTCTGTTCAGGTACCAAATCTTATCCCACGGCTTTGTGCAAGGATGAATCCTGGCTTACTTGGAAGAACCTACATCTGCAAGACAAGCTGTTCAAGACCTTACAGAAACCTGAATAAGAGAAAGTAATGAGCAATCACAGAAGAGATGGCAAAACTCAGAACTCCTGCTCAAAACAAGCAAAACTGCAGCACTTTCTCATACCAAGTGCTATGTAGCATGACTGCAGTGACTGAAAACCCAACACTAAATAGCTATTAGTAGCACTAACTTATAAGGCCATCTTGGCTAATACAGATTCCTGGGGCCCTGTGGATTCTGGGCTTAGGTCTCCTTCCCCTTAATAGGCAATATCTGTGTTCCTAGGAAAAGGTTTATCGGAATCTGGGGAGCACTACATATTTCACTCCAAATATGTTGCACAGTTTATGTTCTATTTTCTAAATAAAATTGCCTGCTGTATTGTCACTGTCATTACAGTGCTTCCTCACATTCCCACTGGCTTCAGGGTAAAGAATGACTGCATTGTGCAAAGGATAGCAAGGCCATCAAAGCAGCATTTCCCCTCATACTATAACCACATACATCTAGTTATCTGCAAGCACAGTCTCCTGCTCTGCATTCTGAGTCTTGATCAATCTCCATTTACTGAACAGTATAGTTTGTGTCTTCCTCTTCCCTTTATTTCCCCTGCCATCCTCTTTTTGTCCAGAGTAGATCTTTCCCTAGTCCCTGGCATGCTGGAAGTTAATTCATATCAATGCGTTCATAGTCAGAACTAAATGCAGTTCTGCTAAGTTACCTTTTGAGCACCAGGTAGTAAGAGCATTTTTCTAATGGACTCATTTCTCAGTACTATTTCAAAATATTTCTTGATAGAAGACTTTCTAGATAAACATTAATGCTGTTGATAGCAAAGTTGTTGCACCTGCACATTTTAATTGCCTAGAGAAGCATATCTTGATAATTGGTATTAGACAGCTTTTAAGCAGAGGACTTTTCAGTGCAATGAATTTGGGAATTAATTCACAATAAAAAGGCAAAACACACCATAAGGTGAAATGTAGAGAGAAATGATTAGTCAGTTGGGCTCAGCCCACGCGGGTGTAGAGAAGTATCTTTGGAACAAGGGTAAAAAGGTCCCATTGTTTCCATCCCTATTCCAGTAAACGCATCCAAATGATTCAATGAAAAATACAAGTGATTAGCTGGCCCTGCAAGAACACACTCTGCACAAGAAAACTATTTTTTTTTCCCATCCATAAATTTGGAGTTTGAGGCAGCAATTAGTGCATTCACAGCAGAGCAAGAATATCCTGACTGCAGACAGCAACGTGAGGAGTATCAAGTCTGAGTGACCATGACGAGACCTCAAGTTGGGCAGAGATGCAGGGGTGAAGTGTGCAGACCCTTTCATTTTAGTGTGGGTCCAGAAGCTTTTAACCTAATATAATAATAATAATAAAAACACATTATGTACGGAAGTGGCATTGGAAATCTGCCAAGGCTTGAACATCCTTAAAAAACATCCTTAAAAGTCTAATGCTAAACTTCCATACTCTTTCATACTGGGCATCTAGAATTTAACATTGCTTGTTTTAAGACACCATGCCCTGGTTCTGCTTGGTTCCTGCTGACTTTGATGAACGCAAATGAAACAGATTTAAGCCAGCATTTACTCCTTGATGAAATAGTATCCTTAAAGGATTTGTTTCAAACATATTTCCTTCATATTTCTGTTGTTTCACATTTTTCCTTTTAACTAATGCACCAGCAAAATTCATTAACGTTCTACAGGCATTTGGGAAACTATCAGACAGATCTGCAAAACTGTAAATACACAATTTATAATAAGACTAAATATTAGAAATTTATTATTTATGATTTCGTGGTCAAAACTCCAGGAGTCTCTGATTAAAATAAGCTTTAGTTCATATTAATTTTTATTAAGTCAATCGGTAGTTTATTAAATATTAACTCATAACTTTATTAACTCTGATAATATTAACTTTCCTACTAAAGTGAAGTTATTAGCTTTTGATGAGCAAGACCTATAACCTGAAACAGAATAAAGAAAAATATAGCCATACATTAGCAATCCCTCACATCCTCTCTCCCCTGCTTTGGTCATCTAAACATGTCACTGAATATGAAATTCCTCCACTGAATATGAAACCCTTCCACTGAATATTGGCGTTGAATATTCCTTCAAAGATATTGGCATCTCAGCAGTTCTTTCCTTGCAATTCAAAGGACAGTTTACTTGAAAAAAAAAATGATTTCTGATATTCAATCATTATATCAGACATGTTAATACATAATTAGCTGACACCTTGGATGTCATGTAGCATAACTATATTACTCAACATCAGGATAAAGCAAACTTATCTCGATGAACACATTTGCCTTATATAGCATGACATATTATTTGGATATCAAACAGACAAATGGGATAACACAGGAGATTTCTTATTACAAAGCGACTGATGATGGGTATGTATATTTAAAGAAAACACTGACAGCCCATCAGTAGCCATTAAGCAATCTCATTTGTGTTATTTAGGTCATAGCCTCCACTGCAGAGGATGTAAAGTTCATGCAATACAGACAAAAACATATTACTGACCCATCTTCTCAGCTATAATAGTATTCTTCTTTCTTGCAATCTATTGGCTTCCCAAACCTACCTAAACACAACAAGACCCAGCCACCACA